TTGCAGTCGTCCATGGCCGGCGGTAGTAGTGGTAGAATAAACTCTTCAGTATACTGAAATAGAGAAGATATGCAAGAAAAAAATACTAAACTCTTCAAGAAACTACTGCAAATAGCTTCAGTTGATAGGAAAACTTTTCAAATAGATGAAAGAACAGCACACACAGACAAATTAAAAAGCAATCAAAGCTTTGTTAAAAACTTTGTGGAGCAATAGTAAAACTATCCAGTTGTCCCAGCAACGTTGGAAGACTTCAATCCATTAATGCAATTTGCGGAGTCAGCTAATCGCGCCAAGTCGTATCCTTTATTGAATTCCATGTGACAGATCTCGTCAGTCCCACACTATTGGCTCGACAAACGTCGATTGATAGCAGTTTAAAAATGTTAAGACGTTTTCTTTATTTTCCTGTAGCAGACAAGATCTGTTATGACGGTTTTTGAATTGAAATGATAGGCCTTAACGTATACACAATAGAATATATTTACTTTTGGTTTTACAATCAATTTAATTTATTTTTAAAATGTGTATTATTTTACAAGAGTTTCATGCAATGCAACATTTACAAAACGAAAACATAAGAAAAAATCTATAAGTTTATTAAAAAATACGATGCAAAAAGTGAGAGAACAGACCCGTCATAGATATTAATAATTTTCAAGAAATATTATCTTACAGTAATAACATTTTACCCTAACTGCCCGCTGGTAAAGCTTTTTGAATATATTATTTACGATGTACGCATAATTAAAACATATCACATATCCCTTAATCTGTCCCTGTCGAGATTGATAAAATGGCTTACGTCATAATTTAATCATGCGGTAAGTAAAATGTAAACTGATATTCTATTTTTAACAAACAGGAAAAGGTTCATTATGTGGGCTAAATTTATTTACACTTTAGTAGTGTATCAATGAGAAAATATACACATCAATAAATAAATAAATAGAAGAATTAACTGATACCAAGAATAGGAGGAAATTTACAATTACAACTGTAGTTTTTTTATGTTTATTTGAACTTTTGTTGAAAAGTTTTAAACAAAATGTGTCGTGAAACATCAGCAATTGGAAAACATAGTTTGAGACTGAAATGGTGTCTAGAAATAATCATCACTACTTTACGTTTCATTAATTTATCTACTTCTGAATATATAGAATAATTCTTTGGCAACAAAACTGAAAGAGGCCTCGTAAAGATGTAATCCCTAATGAAATTTATGAAAGTAATCTTTTAATATATAAATAAATTTATTCATTGCCAATGTAAAAATGAAAAGCAGCAGATTAGTGTTTTGTTGTTTATCAAGATATTATTATAAAAGTTCACATAACGTCAAAGTCAGCACAATACTAACTAAAATTACGCAAATTTGCTGACAGGTCTATAGACAACAACATGACATTAAATGACTTCCTATTTTTATTTTATTTTACTGGAATAATATATTAAATTCAATACATAAAGGTACTAAAATATCCCGCAATCGGTTTTAGATTTAAATTTCTCGAAAATTCCTCCGTTGAGGGTAAAGTTTCTGGAACAGTTAAACTGGCGTTTTATCATACAACTTATGAATGGTACCACGAGGGGCGTTTAGTTCTGATCTATGGCTACATTACGGCATGCTCCGATGGTCTACGAATCGATTGCTAACAGCCAGAACTTGGTAACTACTCGTAGGCTATTAAATCTCTTTTTTTTTTTGTAATACATAATTTTATTGTACATTTTAGAATTTATGAAGATTTATTTTGGGAACATTTTCGTAGGTTTCTATTTTATGTGAGTTACCATTTGAAACTAATAAATGAAATAAATTATAGTTACATTACATTAAGAGTACTTAAGGTACAAATGAGCAGACAATTCAGCCCATGGGCACCTAGTACACAAGAGAATGCTTTAAGGTGACTGCTACTTTATGATTTGGGAAAAGTGTTTTGGAGATGCAAAATGTTAAAGTTGTTGTTGTTGCATTTTTTTACGTTTTTATAATTTTTTAACTGGTAAAATGTAAGAGATGTAGATCTGTATCTAACACTATACATATATAGTCAAGCCAACCTGACCTGGCAATCCGCAATTATATAGTACATATGAGTTAAATAATTGTTAATTTAGTTTTAATCTATTTAAATTTAATAAATAACTCTAGCCACATTAAATAGGATACCGTATTCTGATCTTGATGAAACGAGATATTCCATCTCGCACTGTTGACTTTGCAGGTAAATTAATAGTACTGTTTGAACTTGGAATATAAAATATAAAAAATAGCCAGAGCAACTACTTTGCACAAGTTTGAACTGCTTTTGTAATGAAACCATAATAAAAAAAACCATAATAAAATCATTGTGAAAGTAAATTTATTACTTTCACAATGATTTTATTATGGTTTTTTATTTTAAAACTATACCGAATAAAATCGGTTGGGTAAAGTTGCTATAGTTTTCGATGTTTCCAATGTTAAATAGTCCTAAAACACGACCATCTGCAGTTAGGAAATAGGCATTTAAAGCTTTTGTCACAAGTTCATTTCTCGATTTAATTACCATGAGTTCTCGGTTCGTTATGTTTTGATCTCATAAGTTTTTTTGGTAATTCATAGTCATTCAAGGATATCAGTATCATAATGGTTTTTCCATACGGCAGCAAATGAACAATAGTTTTAGTCAAAGTGAAAAAAATATATACATGTACATATGTATGCCACATTGTTTATTTTATTCTGGAATGGAACAGTCTTTCAGTAGGTAAAATTAACGTTTAACTTACTTCGCCGTCTTAAGCTAGTGGTCAAACTTCGTATTTTTTCCAAAATAAAATTATGTAAATAAATATAGTGTGACTGATCATTTTTATGAAAAAATAAATAATTTTGTAATGTATGTTAATTAATAAACAGATAAGCATTGCCGCCAAATATCCTTCTTAGGAAAAGATTTTAGGAAAATAAAAATAATTTACCTATTTCGGTAAATAATTTTTATTGCCCTAAAAATCTTTTATATTACATAGATTCACAAGACATTCCTTCCCTTCTTTTCTTCCTTTCACTTCCAATATACGAGAGCATGTTTGCCATTAAATTCCCATAGTGGCCGGTTGACAGCAACAGGTTACGTAAGTGGAACTAAATTGTGGTTGGAAAAATGTGAGCTCTTAACACAGTTCTGCCTACGCTGCCGGGTATTCCGGCGTGACTATATGTATGTATGACTGCAACCGTTCCCGTTTCTTAAATGCCATCCACTATTCAAAGCTTTAACTGTCAGATAAAAAAAAAGCGTAATTTATAAAAAAAGTTTTGGTAAAGGAGAAACGTAATTAACGTAATACAATTGAGAGTGGCTGGTTTTCTTTTTTCTTTTATTGAGGACAGTTGACAAATTTAACGAAGCTCGAGATTAAATAGAGATCTAGTTACGAATTTGCTGTCGTTAATTTATTTTCATGAAATGTTTACACTAAAATTAAGTCTTTGCTTTTATTCTAAAGATAATTCTCGACTTTATTAAGTTATAAAATGATTTTATATAAAATCTTTTGTAAAGTTATTGTTATAATATGTAAAATTATTTGAAATACCTGCTATTTGGCACGCTTATTACCCATGTTTATTATTACATAACTTGGCACACACACACACACACAATAAAACACTTTCCGTAATACATAATATGTTACAGATATAACATGTCATCATAATATTAGAATCTTTATGCGTAACTAGAAAGAAGTTGAGTCTACAGAAAGCCTTGATAAGGTTTTTTAATGTGTCGATAGGATTTCATCTATTTTTTATTTAAATGATTTTTGCATCACCACCCTACATTCCGTTGCGACTGGGAGTACGCTTCCATGATGGCGTCCCTCTACTCGTAACACAGGTTTATTCCTATAACGCGAGAGTTGCAGTTATCTATGTACTCTGCTCATAACTCTTAGTGAAAAATAACGTTTCTTATTATCCAGGAGACCAACGTCATTTCCTTTTCCTTTCCTGAAAAATACATCTCTGTAATTTTTTTCGTTGATTGTAATTTGCCATAATTCATCATCATCAACAGCCTTTAATATTCCACTACTGGACATAGACCTCTCCTTAACTGTAATTAATTAAACAAATAGATAGTTATTTATAATATTTATGTTACATAATTGCTAATAGGCTTTTATAAATAAACAAAAAAATATTAATATAATACAATTAAAATATTTACATACAAGCATCAAAAAATTCCTCTACGTCATCGCCTACTGGTAGCGTTTCCAGAAGATTGGCAATGCTAATTGTCTATGCTAGAAGAAGGCTGGCCTTCTAATCACGGGAAATGCCGACCAGTTGCTTAGCTAGTTTTTCATACTTAGCACGAGCATTCCATGGCAGTAACGACATACCATCCGGTCTCTTCCCATCGTCTCGTACCAGATCATTGGGTTCACATACAGCTGGAATGCCGGTGGTAACAAGAGCACGACGGATGTCGTTAATATTGGCATGTCGAGATATAGGGCCAGCGCTTCTGCTACAAAAAAGGCCACGATGTCCAACACTGTTATCAGCTTCTCCGTGGTGACAAAGGCATTTATATAAATGATTCAAAATACCTATTTCATTGAGTTAGAGGAAAGTGAAACCTATCTTTACCTACCTTCCTTTTCACTACTAAGTGTAAAATTGATCGAAAACTCTATAGACAGACAATATAAGTGAGTTATATAGAAGACAATATAAGTGGACAATACTCGTAATAGCAGTAAAACGTTCATATTTACATTCTTTGAGTGTCTTCTTCATCATTCACACAATTTAAAAGCTGTTTACAATTCTACTTAAGTAAACACTGCGATTTTGTGTAAACATAATGTACAGTGAGATTCCCCGGTCGCAGATATTAAAACTGTACCCACACATCGAACAGTCTCAATGCGTTTGCGCACCTGTGAGCTTGTTCAAGAGCTGGTTTGCTGTTTTTTTTTGTTATTTTAACATGATGGCCACAGTAACTCCTTATGAAAAGTAAGTTTTTATTCCGGTGATTATTAAGTGTTATAAAATGTATTTTTAAAATTACCATTTGCATAATTATTAATAATAAATCATCGTATAAGAATAATTAATTCTAGATGACATGTAAGCTAATCATACGTTACATTTGCGTTCTACCCAGAATATAGTACCGCAGTTTTAGGATGTCTATTATTTTCTTGTAATTTGTAATTATTAATTTCCAATTTTACCATTACTCTTTTATGATTACTGGATATAAATTTAAATAGCATACGTATGTTACGTAAAAATGTTTGAAATAATGTAACAGTACGAGATACTCAAACATAACAATTTAGTCATAACTTTAAACAGTTTTTTCACACGCGACTTATAAAAAACAACTTGCTTTTAATTGATGTGTATTCTGCTACATCAAAACATATAGAAAAGGTAAAAGTGTATAAGCCCACCAGCCAACCCAGCCCAAGTGTGTGTGCCCAAAAAAGCTGATGGTAAGTGACTACTTTTAGCTCATGAATACCTACAACTCAAAAGACTCATGATTATGTTGCCGGCCTTGGGGAGATGGCACTCACTCGATGAAATGCTGCGAGGGAATTGATCTACACCTGTTTTCTGTGAGGCCGTGGTATCACTCCAGTCAAAACGACCTTTAACGGATTTTAACTGTAGGTCATCAACAGTTAGTGATCCTCCAAAATAATTTATTAAACAAGGGTTCATTCACACTTCTTTGTCTATCAACAACAACTTTTTCTATACTTGTTGTGATTCTACTTGCATAGGAGGTTTGAACAGCATCATAGCTTAGAAAAAAATTGTGTTACATCGAACCATTCACGCAAATTCAAAAATGACGTTCTTTATCTACACCTCCTGATGAGTTGGACTTATCTACTTTTGTTATTTCTTCGTCATATGACCAAAATAGGACAACTTTCTATAGTGCTCATTATTTCCCGATTCTTCTTGAAATTTTCCCATTCTTCAATATCTTTTATTTGGATGACCAATATCCTCGGTATGGATGAAAATGATCTCTAACATTATTTTAAAGAACCTTCTGATCGAATTTTAGACGAAGATTAATTAATTTGTTAATTTCATAAATCATTGAGTTTAAGTATCAAGAATTCCAAGAGTAATAGATGCGCAATCGATCCATAGGAATTAAAGAATTCGTCCCCGGTTTACAAGTTCCACTAGTAGCAATAACTACGAGTAAGAATAAATATCAACAAATAGTACGAGTATAAAGAGGTGACAGAGTGACCCCCCTAAGTTCGCCTAGCTTACCTGTTAACCAGACTTGCTTAGCAAGCTCAGGTAGCGGGTATGACCATTAAATCTTAAACTGTAATACACAATATTTCACTGACCGACCTCTAGAACCCTTTGTTTGTCGTGCTTGTCACCTTGTAGTAGGACCAGACCATACACAACTGTGTCTACTGTTAAAGCCTATTTTATTTATTTTTGTCTACGAATTCTATGTGACTCATCAAACAGCCTTTAATAGTCCACTGCTGGACATAAGCCTCTCCTTAGAAAGGAGGTTTTGGCCTACTATACCACGCTGGCCAGACGGGTTGGTATGTGACTAGAAATATAAAATAAAATACTAAAGAATTTTGTTTGTCAAACACATAATTGTTTGCACGCAATGGTGCAGACGGAGAAAGAATTCAAACAATCTTTATTTGTAAACAAAGTTGGCAGCTCGTGAGTATACTGTTTTGTATAATTTGACTGCACGGATGGCGTAGTGGTTTAGGCGGTCGCCACACTACTACGCTGAGTGTTGTTGATTCGATTCCTACATGGGACGACACTTTGTGTAATCCACAAATAGTTGTTTTGAGTCTGAGTGTTTTTTTTTGTGACCGTTTCTTGTATGTTTGTAAAGTTCCCCGCGACACAGGATATATTCTTAACATGTGCCGGAGTTGTGTTTAAAAACAAAAACAGATTTAGTATCTGTGTTAACTACTGTCGTATACGCCTTTGTGTGGCCAACATTGCTAGAATTAATATTGTGCTAAGCGTTTCTATTAAAAAATTGTCCAGAGTTCAATTTACATCGAATCGTATATAATATGAATAACTTCATTTTACGGACTTGTATAAAACCCACTCTTTATTCGCAGATCTGATTTCACCTAAACGTGGAGCTCTGAAGATTGATTTAGGCATGATTGAATATAAATGATTTTGATTGATAACGTTAATTTAGAATCGGTATTTCATTTGGTATTCCTATTTTATCTCTTTAAATAACTCTTGTTATTTTCTGTTTTTCTAGTTTGCAGCCATCACAGACCTTCTCACCTTTCTCGAAATGCTGCTTCTGTATACCATTAAGGACAGGCTGCTTTATTCTTGGATACACTAGTTTGGTAAAATTTTGTTTATTTTACAATTTGACACTGTTTTTTAGAAACTGAAATTTACACTGAATTTTTATTGGTTTTACCGCCTGTATTTTTTCTGCATGTTTTGTAATTCTAAAAACGAAAAGTTTTTAATTTTAAGATATAATAGGTATTATTTCAACTCTTTAATAAATTAAGATATTTATATTCAAATTGAATTAAATGAATTTTGTCATAAGAAGACTACTTAAGACTAAGAAACCCAAAGCAAACAATGCTAAGGACACTTACTGACACTTCAATTTGAAGTTTGAATATCGAATAATATTGTTTCATTGTTTTCTAGGTCATAAATTTTATAATTACTATGTTCTACGCGGGTAGTTTGGCAATTATGGCAATATTGACTCATGGCTTTCGTTATATACATGTGAAGCAAACACCGAGTGGTGAGGTGGTTCCTGATGTTGATTCCTTGGACAAAGCCAAGTTGCACATGACCATAATGGTGATCCTTCTAGTTGGATTTCTAAATGTTTCGTGGCTTATGTTGAATGGGTTTTTACTTGTTGGTCTTCATAAGGTAAGATATTAAAAATGTAAAACGTCAAGTTCCATTATTGATAGGTTACGCTCTTCATTCCTTCATTCTCCTTATAAACATAAACACGGTCCTACCATTTTCCACACTTCTTTCTTACCCAGCCCTTAAATATCAATTTACTTTCTTTCGTTCTCAAACAATTACGTGAGAGACACTATTTTGAAATTGGATGCATACAACGACAAAAGTTGGACAAACAAACAAGAAGAAATGACAATATAAAATTGAAGATTCCGACGAATTGAGAACCTCCTCCCTTTTTTGGAGTCGGTTAAAAATATACAAATTAACATCAATGTGAAGTTTCGGGCTAAAGTTGGTAATGAAATAAATAAAAGATCGGAGACAATTCGAAACCCTAGCAGGGCAGTATGTTCAAAATTATCTACTGGTACAATGAATGTCGGTCTATTTGAGTTACTCTGCTGGCCCGCGGCCAGTTTGCTCAAAATTACTGCATCGTATTGCCACCTTGCTCACTGATTTTGGGAATTGTGGGCTTGAAGATTTTGGTTTGTAACTAGTCCCTTAATGGTGACTGATACTGTATATTCGATTCTTAATAATTCAAATATCAAGTTATAATTTTTTTTACGACTCTACTCGTATAGTAAATATTAATAAAATGATGTTTAAACATAATTATTTTTATGCCACTTTTCTGTGTGGAAAACTGCAAGATCCACGCTTTGAAACCCGATTCTAAAAGAAATAATAGAAAAGCAAAAATATTTAGCCTGTTAATAATAACTGATTTATAGAATCAGTCTTGTAGTATAACTGTATTTTGGTATTAATTTTTAAGTATTTTTTTCTAAACTGCATTAGGAATATACACTGTGTCGCGAGGAACTTTACAAACACACATGAAACGGACACAAAGAACACCCAGACTCAGGATAACAAGTTGGGGATCGGACCCACGACACTCAGCGTAGACACTCACTCAGCTTGTCGTAAGCGGTCGCCACTCCGCTTACCACAAGCGGCATAGCGACCGCTTAAACCACTACGCTATCTGTGCAGTCCAACTGAAGGTTATAGGCTGTATACAATTACACAAAAAGAAATAAACTTTCATTTTACAATAACAGTAGCAGCAGACTGGAATAGGTAGCGTTGGAGATAGAGGTCTATGTTTAGTTTAAGGCTTATTTACGGCTTTATTGATATACCTACTGTCTCACGTCATTATTCTACGTAATATATTCTTATTGTATGCTTAATCTACTACGCCATGCAGTCGTAATTATTTTATAGTCATACAAGTTTATCACTTTAGTTTCTAAAATTGCCTCCTTAACAAAATTTAGTGAAAAAATAAGTATAAAATGATGTTTAAAACCATTGCAAAACCTGACTGGTATGTACAATTAGCCGAAATCTTACTGATTTTGTACTAAAACAAATATAAAATATTTAATAAAACTCAGCCTTTCAAGCGAATTGTCAATAATCAATATCATCATCATCGTCATCAACAGCCTTTAACAGTCCATTGCTGGACATAGGTCTCTCCTTAGAAAAGAGGTTTTGGTCTACTATACCACGCTGGCCAGACGGGTTGGTATAGGGTTTTTGTCAAGTTTTCTTTCTGTTTGTAGTCTTATTGTCCTGCGCAGTTTGCTCCCTTAGTCGGCTCTTACAACACCCACGGGATGAATATTAAAATATTTTTGGATACACATATTTTATTGTGGATAAATTGCACCTAGACTCAGAACAAATGATCGTGCTCATCACACGATTAGTATTATTTCTTCTGCCACTGATTACCTCTCTATAAGTAAGATAGATGACCTCATCGATCTTTGCATCGCCCAATGGGCCTTAGGTACTAGGTCCGCCGTTACATATATTTGTACATGAAATTGTAAAAAATAAATAAAATTATTTGTCATGCGTGGAAATCGAATACACGACCTCCGGCTTAGCAGTCAGGGTTGCTAAAGACTAGACCAACAGACCTGTAAACATGATTTTAATGACGAAATTATTTAATTTTTTTGTATTTTTTTCAGAAAAAACCTGGTCCTATTCGAGTTCATGTAACGGTAGCAACCATCCGATTGTTACTTTCCGTTCTTGGTATCATCACAATGAATACCAACAAGATTGGGTTCTGCTGGGTGGAAATTGGTAAGTAAAACATATTAATTCCTTATGTTACAATACAGATTATCCTAATTGCGATTTCAAAATAATAATAACAATAATTCTTTATTGACTATATATAAATCTATGCTAATTTTATAAAATTAATTGGCTCTTGGCACTTTTGTAAGTGTGTTAGTTCATTTCCTTTACTATTCTATCACTATGTGTTTTATAGAAAAATAATAACCCATTAAAAGTATTTAGAGTACAATTATGGTACCGAACAACTCAAATATCCTCTTTCAAAAATTACTTAAAAATAATACTACGGAATGAATGTTTTCAATGAAAGAAAGCTTTTCTTTCTATAACTTTTTATTTTAGATTAAATTTAGTACGATAGGAACAAATTACCATGAAGCTAACGCAGACTTACACAATAAATCTGACAGGATCAAGCGGTCGACATCCTATTTGCGGCGAGAGATACATTTTTGATTTCGATTTCACTACGATTAAATCTCAATTTAAACTTAATCTGCATCAAATCGAATGTAATTGGAAAGTCCCGAAACAAGACCTTGTAATTTGACACTATTTTCTGTTTCAGCTTTATCGGGATATTTCATTATGATGTACTACACATACGCTACGCAACTGGACCGTGAGAACAAGTCCGAAGAGCCTAAGCCTACAACAGATGACGTTGTGACCGAAATAGTATTCAGTTATCCTAAAAACATTGACAAATTAAAACTGACAGACAAAGATATAACCGAAGTTGTGAATGCAAATGCTTAAAATATAATCGATAATGACTCGCAAGAAGATCGATATATTTTTACTTTGATTCAAACGCCGAGAGACCTATGTGATACTTATTGGAACTAGCAGCAATATTTTCAATTATGATTTAATTTATGTTTAGTTACTATAAATAATATATACCATGTACTTTAATACCAAAGAAAATATTATTTATGCAATTTCAACACTTTGTTTTTTCTTTCAGTTTAAAGTGCATTTTTGAGAGTTAGTGGAGTATAAAAATATTTGTTTAACCCTGTACTTATCCTGCAAAATTCAAGCTACATCTCTAACTGGTTCAACGCCCGATTAAAAAAAAAGTTTGATTTTCGGCTGCCACCTCTAAAATTGCAGTTTTCTGTCTGATAAGTTTAACCTGTATAACGTCATAGAGTAAGCCTCTGTTTTTTTCAATTTAAGTATTGAATGATTGAACTGTCTGAAGAATAAACTTCTTACACTCGTATGTTCTTCAATCGATGTAGAAATGCATCCAAATGTGTCCTTTTCTTAGTACAATCCTTAGTGTATACCAATCACTTAAAAGACTTACGGCTCCTAAATAGTATACTCAAGAAGATGAACTGAAACAGTGAAACCAGGCGAAACTCAAGGGAACCGACAAAACTGATTTAACTTTTACCGTAATAGTTTCTGCACCAAGCCCAGGTCGCCAATGCGATAATTTTGAGGAACGAGGCTGTAACGATATACATTTTAAAATATTTAAATGTTTTTAAATATTCCAATTATTTGGACTTCGCATTCATCATTATTATTTGCATCTCTACTTTTCATTTTTACTGTTGCACGATGTTAATAACTTTCACATAAAAGGAATTCAAAATATTGTCAGGGATATGATGTATTTTGGGAGCAAATTTGATAATTTCGCAAGACAGCTTTAATAATAAGTCTTGCCAAGAGATTCAGTTATTGGACTGAAATCGTTTATTATTTTTAATGTAACAATTAGCATAAAACACATTTACTCTTACTTTATATACACAGGAAGTATAACGTAAGAATTGTCTCATCTTGATATATTATCGAAAGTTATTTCCTGATTTCTGCATCATATAGAGTTTATTCCCATTGTATGTCGAAACTAATTTAATTTGAACTTTTGTTACGTTGGAAATCATCTAATAGCGTTGCTGTGTTTACTTTTTTCTTTTTTAAAACAACTTCTGCGCATGAATATATTCTGTGTCACGGGGCACTACTAACATTCCTTAAAATGACACAAACCAGAACACCCAGATTCAGGACAACAATTTGTGGGTCACACAGCGCAGATTACTCAGCGCAGTAGAAAGCGGTGAGGTGACCGCTTAAACCACTACGCCATACGTGCAGTATACTTATGTTATATGTGTATATGTTTTTGTTTGGTAATCCTGTAAATAAACATAATAATTTGCAAAAACATTAATGCAGGAAAACTTCATGAATAATCATACTTGTCATATTCTACCTTCGAGCCAGTATTAATAAAACGTGAACAAGGAGGTCAAAAAAGAGAGAACAGTGAAAATAAAAGAAAAATAATTAAGAGAATTTTACCTAAAACGTCGGCAACGCGCTTGTGATTCCTGAGTGACAAGCGTTCTTGAACGGCGAAAGTCACTTGCCATTAAGTGACCCATCTACTCGTTTGCCCCCTATTTCATAATAAATCTTAAAAAAAAACAGTTAAACCGACTTCAAACAATACTCAAAGAGTAGTAAGATATCTTATTTCAACCCAAAAGTATATTATTTTCCACATTACTTTCTACATGTGAAGAAAAAATGCCACTCCTAGAAGTGGAAATTTTTCACATTTGAATGGAACCAAAGAGAAAATAGACTCTTCAAAAAGAAACTATATCGGTTAACAAATAAAAGAGATTTCAGTTGATTTGAATTGATTTGAATAATTTTGTAATCTCAATTATTACTCTCTTGTGCACATATTATATGATTCCTGTATGGGTTACAAACAAACACCTAATAAATATCTTGAAAGAATAAAATCAGCTCAGCAACGTTGTCGAGGCTGTAAAGTTTGAAGGTTTCCCCTCGATTTCTCTAGGATCCGATAATCAGATCCTAATGGTGGTAATGAGATCACCTCGGGAGTGTGCACTTTTGATTACAAAAATAATACAGTCGAATTGAGAACCTCTTCTTTTGTGTTTTTGAAGTCGGTTAAAAATGGGTATAAATTATAAGCGACTTAATTTTTACATCGTTTATAATTTTTCTCCATTTGAAACAAGTTTCATCGTTCAACTTCATCGTTGTCTTTTCTGTTGCACCAATTTTTTATTATGAATGTATATGAAACTGTTTTTGTATTACAAACAAGTGCCACAAATCTTTTAATTTTTAGTAAAAATAATCGCAAAAACTTAAACTATTATTTTTAGCCAAAACACAAATCGCAGATGTCACTCAGAAAGCCGCCGCACTCAAATGGGACTGGGCGGGACACGTTTGCCTCATGCCGATGGGTGGATGCCCATAAGGCAAAAATTAGCACCACTTGGGTCCCACAAGGTGCCAAACAACAACGTGGTAGGCCCAGGCGACGATGGCGGGACGATCTCGACGGCTTCCGAAAAGACTGGTCCGAACTAGCACACGACAGAGAAATGTGGAAGGGAGAGAGGGAGGCCTTTGCATTGCAGAGTGACAATACAGGCTAAAAATTAAATGAAATTGCTTCGCGGTTCTATTTGTATTGTCGTTTCCTAAGAATAAACGTGGTGTATTCCCAACGGAATACGAACTGTTGCAACAAAGATTGCAACAACTTCGTTGCAGTTTACGGTTTAATCTGTCTTAAGTGACTTTGATCGATGATAGTTGCTATTGCATTAGCATATTTAGCGAATGTTTTCATGTTCTTTTGGACATTTATTCTTACAAACATTTTGTATACTGATATGATTTTGTTCTGTATTTATTTTGATGTTTTTATTCTTCCTGATAACTTATTTTTCTAGTTGAAAAAAGGTACGTCGTCTAAAGGGCGATGACGTGGCGCAAGCGTTTTGCCACTGTCTACCCCTGAAATTGGTAGGTTGTGGTTACCATCGACTATAATATTAATCCTTGTATATTGACGATTGAGATTGATTATACACTGGCAATAAGCTATGCGGTAATAGGATCTAATTTGGTCTAGTGCCACTTTTAAGAAGTGTGTTCTTTAATCATCATTATCAACAGTCTATAGTACTTTTCTGCTGGACATAGGCCTCTCCTTAGAAACGAGGTTTGGGCCTACTATACCACGCTGGCCAGACGAGTTGGTATAGTTTATTTTATTTCAAATTTTCCTTCTCTTTGCAGTGCTGTTATCATGCGTAGTTTGCTCCCTTAGTCGGCTCTTACACACCCACGGGATGAATAGGAGTGGTGACATAATGTATTCTTAATCCGTCACCACATGGATTATACCATTTGATGGTACCAACTAATAATTGTGAGACTAAGTTTAAAGAAGACAAACTTGCTCATTGAGCACATGGTCTTGTAAGTAGGAGAATATTATATAATAACTGTACAACTCCCAAATCTATTCCTTAACAAGAATGCATGTTGAATGCATGTATGTTTATGTTACACATACAAATTATAATACTGTTTACGTGCGCCTGAAAATGTTTATGAATATTCTTAATCGAGTTTGTTTACACGACCTGTAAAATGTGGATTTAGGTTAGGTGCACAAAATAGCACACCTAATATGGGCTACATACAGTTCAGTAAAACGAATGTGCTTTATACTCATGTTAGGTTTTGTAAAGTGTAAATATTTTAAACGTAATAGTAGAACAACATATGTAATAAATCCTTTTTAAAAATAAGTTGAACCGAGTTCAAACAATACTAACAAAGAGCACTAAAAACCTGGTAGCAATCGCGGTTGATTTGCTGTCATTTTTTGAAGAATTCCGTTATCTGTCTCCGAAAATCATCATCAGATCTATATGAAATTTAAATGGGACAATTTCATAATAAACCCCTTTCTAACAAAAAAGAATTTTGAAAATCCGCCTATATGTGACGGAGTTGTGCCCGAACATACATCAAAAATATAAACATCCGAATTGATAACCTCCTCCTTTTTGATGTCGGTTAAAAAAAACCTTTTAATAAAATAATACTGTAGAAGCAGACCGTGCTTTTTGGCCGCTCTTTCAGTGCTCCCGTTTTGAATATTTATTTTTCAACAGAATATTCTTCGAATGTTTATTACAAATAAATATAATGTAAATAGGTAATCGTTTTCATGCCAATGAAAATTTTGATTTAAGTAAAATAAAATATGTCACACAAAATTCATCTACATAGTCACCTTAATTAAATTTAGTTATATTTATATGTACATATATTCATGTGCGGAACCCATCAACGTACACATATTAAGCTTTGTTCAGACATGTTTGTAATAAACCGCCTTTATGACGCTGCCGATAATCCTCCATTACATGACGAAGGACGACGTTTTTCGGCTTTGGGACGAGGATTGTAGCGAAGCGTTTAGTCTTCTCACGTTTGCTTTTCAATTTAGTTATATTAATATTTAGTTCATATTTGTTTTGGCATCCAAATTTCTATGATACCGACGTTTTGGATTTCTTTACAGCTGCAGTGCCTAGTTTGGAATCAGACGGCTGTGTGTAAAATGTATTATTTAATCATTATTACTTAATTCAAAAGATTTTTAGGTTATTACCTAAACATGATCGAGATACGAAGAGACAGAAAAGTGTGTGGCATATAACTAAGCTTTTAGTTAGGTTAGGCAAATAAGCAACAACACTGAATACAAAAGTATTCAATGATGTTACTTATTTGCCTCCTTGACAGTGTAAAAGAACTGATATTATTTTTATATGACCTTTGTAAAAAAAGTTATTTTTTTAAAATTCTTCGACATTATTGACTATCGTCTTTGCAAATGAAATACTCCTGATCTCAGAGACTAAATAATTATA